TTTTTTTTTTTTTTGGTATTTATGAGGTAGGGTCTTGCTCTGTAGTTCAGGCTGGCCTTGAATTCACTATGTAACCCAGGCTGGCTTCAAACTCATGGTGATCCTCCTGCCTCAGCTTCCAGAGTGCTGGGATTACAGGTGTGCTCCACCACACCTAGCTTCAGCCCTGCTTCTTCTGTCTCTCACATCTGTACCCCACACTGCATCACTCCCTGTGTGTCAGGCTGCTTCTTCATGTTTTGTTTCGGGCACTTCCTGTGTTCTTTAGGCACCGTTAATCATAGTATGAGGGTCTGCTAGTCTAACAGAAATTCTTGGTTTCTGCCCGGGCCATTGCTGCCTCAGAGTTGGTGGCTGCACACCTTTCTCTGAGTCCCCTGTGCAATGTGTGTCCTCCTGGAGACACACATTGCTTTCATTCCCCAAAGTGCATCTTCCTTTGCCATCTGCTCCTGGCCCACCATGAATCCCCACATCCACTGCTACATGGGTTCCAGTCACTTACCTTTCTGGTCATGCTGAGCTTACCAGTGACTCTGGCCATGCTGTCTGGTTCACAGCATTTATGGTCTTAATAATGGGGACCAATCTCACGCTGATGGCACCATCCTGGCCTGCCTGGCACTGGTAGCCTGAATTATCTCCAGCCCTGCAGAGGTGTCCTGTCAGCGTGTGAAGAAGGGCTACTCATGTTCCCTCTGTATTTTGGGACATGAAGACTGTGTCCCTCAAAACCCAGCAGCCCTCTTTCTCCAAGATCTTTTTCTGTTTTGTCTTTAAGTATTGCCCTGGGCTCTCTGACTGGTAGCATAGCTGTGTGTGTCCTCTCATCAAACACTCTGCAGCTGGAGATGAATCTTGGCCTCTATTCCAAGTTCCCTGCACTCACCTTGCTCAGGTCCATTCCTCACAGCCAATATGCTGGTCCCCGTGAGCCCACGGAGATGCCCAAGAAGACAGACTTACACATACAGCCCCCATGCAGGAGAGACAGGAGAGCTCATCACTCGTCTGGGGAAGAGATTAACGGGTGGTGAGAAAGAAACTTGGGTAGGTAGGAAGGAGCAAAGAAGAGTGAGGGAGGGAAGCGGAAGTGTCCTGTGAAATGAGAGGCAGATTCACAAGAGAAGCAGAGCCCCTGGGCTTTGACAGAAATGTGTTAAGCAGTTCCACATCCAGATCAAGTTCCTGAACTTACCCTCAGAAAGTGCTGGGCTGGGCTGGGCTGGGCTGGGCTGGGCTGGGCTGGGTTGGTACTTCCACCCCAAAATTGCTCCCCTACCTGCAACTGTATTAACTCTTTCAGTGCCTCCATGACCCAGAGGAAGGAATGCCAGCAACGCACAGAGCAGCCAGCTGAGCTTGTCTGCAGAAAGTTGAGCCGGTCACTCCCTGGAACCCTGCAAAACCAAAAGGAGTAAAACAGCTACACTCCCCATTTCATCCCTTAGCTAGGGATTCTCAAACTTCAGGGGAACTAAAAATCACATGGAGACTTGTTCCAAATACAGATTCCTAGCTGGTGCTTTTAAACAAACACTGAGTGTTTCTAAATCTTTGTAGAACTTTGAGAAACACTTTTTTGTTCTTGAGTACGCAAACTGTACACTTTAATAAAATAGAGATTACGTTAAAACCTTATATTTGCTGAAACCCATACTTGCTCAACTCATTTCTGGAACCAAGTCCACAACCACCTTGACATGGAGCTGAGCGCTAATCAGAGGATCCTCTAAGTGTTGCCTCTGTCCTTGGAGAGCTTGTGTGTGTACACAGCAAATGCTTTCTGCAGCTGGAGGTGAACTTGGCCTCTACTTTAATTGCCTGGCTCTCCCCTTGCTCAGGTCCAGTCAGGGGAGCCAACAAATAGAAACAGTATCATTAACGCCTTGGCACACAGTGTAATTCTTCATTTAATCAAAGACATGGATAAATGACTAACTGACTACCAGTGATTGTCATGACAGCTCAGAAGATAAGAACAGAAGGAGATGGAGACGTGGAGGTTCCAAATCCAGAGAGCATGGGCTAAAGAAGCCGCAGCTGGCAGTCACGTGTCAATTCAGTGAAGATGCTGCTTTGGTTAGCCCATTCATGAGCACCTGCCCTCCCTCCTCCTCTCTGGCATACAGTTCCCTGCCTCACCCCTACTCAGCCTCCCCCACACCCTTTCCCTACTCACCCAGAACACCTAGGGACTGGAAATAACAAGTAGGAAATGGCCCTGTCCTAAGAGAACACGATCCAGGTTCTCGTTCTCAGAAATGGTGCCCATCCTTGCTTCTAGTCTAAGGCTGAGACTTCAGGAAGCAATGGGAAATGAATGTCTGGTCCATGGACGAGGTCAGGGGGAGGATTTGATTTCTTAACAGGACAAGGATGCCTGGCCCAGGGAGGAAGGTGAAGGCATCCTCATGCAGGTCACACACAGAGGACAGCAGTGGCAGTGAGGGGCTATTTCTAGCTTCTCAGCTCCCAGGCTCACTCTTGGGGAGGCCTCAGCCCACTCATATTCAACATATGCCTTCACATTAAATGTAGTACTTCAAATAATTTGAAAGGATTTTTATAACTATGTTTGGAAATTAACCAGCTATGAGTAAGTTATTTAATGTGTAGTTGGCTGTGATTTCTCTCATCATGCAGAGAAGTCATTCTAGAGATAAAATATAGGAAGTTTTGTAAATGCAATGAGACTATTAAATTTGACAGTCAATAGAAGTAACAATATGTTTTCTAAACATTTTATATATGTTTTATTTAATATTTTGGCACCAATAACATTCTAAAGGTTTCTTATATTTTCATAGGCTCTTGAAACTGTGCTAGGGGGCTTAGTGGTTAACCCTGGTCTGCTGATGAGGACTGACTTTCTGGGTGTCTTCTAGCAAGTTCTCCAGCAAAGTGTCTGATACATTCTTCTTCTGCTTTGGTAACAATTTAATCTCCTTGAAGGCAATAAAGCCCTGGATAGGTCAAACTGTGAAGCCAAGAAGGTTGGAAACCAAGGATGTGTGTGTGTGTGTGTGTGTATGTGTGTGTGTGTGTGTGTGTGAGAGAGAGAGAGAGAGAGAGAGAGAGAGAGAGAGAGAGAGAGAGAGAGAGAGAATTTCCCAAATTAATGAAATATAACAAACCTCAGATTTAAGGAGCTCAGAGAATCTACTCAGTAAATACAAAGAACACACTTAAGCACATCCTAGTGGAACTGTTGAAACCAAAGATAAGAGAACTTCTTGAAAACAACCAGAAAGGAAAAAAGAAGATCCATGGAAAAGTAAGCAATAAAGCATTTGCATCAGAAATTTTTAAAAAATTGTTTATTGGTACACTTTAGGTGTACATAATGATCATCCGCATCATAGGGAATTTGTACCTGTACATGATACATTTTGATTCCTTTTTTCCCAGTCCCCTTTATTCCCTTCAACCCCTCTTCCCCTCCCTATTTACAAAGCTTTGTTTCCATTTTATCCTTTTATTATTTTCATCAGAAATTTTGCCAGCCAGATTGAGAGCCAGCCATTTTCCTGTCTTATCAATCCACAAGATAACCCAGCCTCTTTCTAGGAAATTCCCCTATTCGGAGGCTGATATTGGCTAAGGCAGGCTTCTGTTACCTGCAAAAACAACGACTGAGCTGAGCGGCCTACCACAGGGCATGGGCTCTCCAGTTCTCCACAGGCTGTAGCCCTCCCATCTGTCTCCTGCCTCAGCTTCCCCAGTGCCAGCATCACAGGCATGTGCCACCACACCCATCTGAGCTGTCCCTCTTGTTCCACATACTGTGAGGCCCTGAACTGGCCAGTGGCTTCATCACTCATCAGAGACTATTTATGGGGACTACTGTCCCTCAAACAGGGCCTGGGGTTTGCCTGTTCCCCCAGATTCTTTCCTGGGAGCTGATCAGCCTAGCAGAACCAAAGCCTGGTGCAGCTTTGCCAAGGCACGGTCACTGCCATGGGAGGCAGCATCTGTATGGGCAGCTATCCAGTTGGGGTCACCATGAACTTGAGAAGATTCAGTTTTTTGTACCCATGGCACCATTGAGAGTCCCTGGGTGGGCTCAATTTCTGGAAGAGGTCCTTTACTACAGAAGCCACTAGGAGGCAGCAAAGTGCTTGTTTCAAGTCCTCAGCAGGTCTGGTTAGAAGCAGCAGATTAGGGGAACAGTTGTGATACAGACAGAGGGAAGCTGAAAGGGTCCATCTGAGAAGGTACAGAGCCCGCACTGAGGACAAGTGTGGCAAAGGGATGATAAGTCAAGGGATTTCTCAGCCACTGTTTGGACATCTGGATCTTTGGGTTGGTTTGTTTGTTTTTTGAGACAGTGACTCACCATGTAGCTCAGGCTGGCCTTGAAATCACTATGTAGCCCAGGCTGAGCTCCAACTCACAGTGATCCTCCTGCCTCAGCTCAAGTGCTGGGACTGCAAGCTTGCACCACCATTCCCGGCCTGAATTCATGATTTAAACTAGACTTCATACCACTTCTACTTAAAAGCTCTTAGTTGGGTGTGGTGACACATGCCTGTAATCCCAAAACTCTGGGAAGCAGAGGCAGAAGGATAAGTCTGAGTGCAGCCTGGGTAACCTAATGATTTAGCAAGACTCTGTCTCAAAATAAAAACTACAAGGGGCTGGGGATTTAGCTGAGCGGCAAAGCGCCTGCCTGGCAAGCGCAAGGTCGTGAGTTCGGTTCCCGGTACCGGAGAAAAACCAAAAAAAAAAA